CTAATTATAGAAAACCATGACTACCTGGTTCTCTCTTACCATAGAAAACAATGACTACCTGGTTCTCACTAACCATATAAAACCATGACTACCTTGTTCTCACTTACCATAGAAAACCATGACTACATGCTTCTCACTTACCATAGAAAACCACGACTACCTGGTTCTCACTTACCATAGAAAATCATGACTACCTGGTTCTCACTAACCATAGAACACAATGACTACCTGATTCTCACTTATTATAGAAAACCACGACTACCTGGTTCTCGTTGAAATAAGGCAGTTCGACACTCTGGTGAAACGGTTAATTCAAAAATGAATCGCAATTTTGTTAATTGATTTCGGTATCATTTTTAATTCACACTATAACAGTGTATATTCTGTCAATTTTTATTCTTTGCTATATTAGCATTGTATGTATATTCCACTTCATAGTGTTTTAATCCTAAGTCCTAAGTAATTCTTGTGTGATATACAAGTATTCATTCACTATTAACTTTGTCTTTTATTTACTTATTCTGAATACTACTTATCTGTGATCACATTTAATGCTTTTCATACATTAACACTATTTATATATATATATCCCGGGGGGTAGGGGACTCCCAATCACTTAGTGATAGGATATGGATACTTTCTCTTTCTGTGATGATTATTACTGTTTTATTATTAATATATGTGATGATCTCCCTTTACTTGTAATATCATATGTTGTTGTTATTTTTACATATTTTTGTCGCAATAATAGCTCTCAAGAGCTAATGTTCCTTATTTACCTGTATGCGACGTTAAATAAAGTTTCTTGTATCTTGTATCTTGTAGAAGAATTCAGAAAGATAAAAAAATGAGTTTCTTCGTTCTTTTTAACTAACTGTAAGAAATGAAATAAATGTTACAATTATACGATGATTTGACACACATATTCTCCAATATGTGTTACCGCGTTTCTTTGAACAGCTTGGTTTTTTGTAAGGCGTGAACGTTTTTTTTTAACAGAATCCATGCGAGAATGAACGCAAATAGGTTACATCCTTATTGCATAAAGCACGCCGCTAATTACATCTGTACATGTATATTACAAGCTGTCTAAAAAATAGGTGTTTCCTGATATCTTTGTTAACATGTTAAATACGTTCTGATTTCATGACAAAAAATTCTATTATAAGTGTGATGATAAACAAATGTTCCTGTTTACACCGCCTGTAGTACAGCCCCGTCATACAATATATATTACAAAATGTAGCTAAATTAAAAAAATTGTATCACGATGGAACTATTACATGTATAACATTTGCTCAAAAATAAGACGTTGATTTTCAATTAATGAAAATGATCAACGTGAGAGATGCATAGAAAAAGATATTAAATATAATCTTCGAACAATTTTAATTTTAAGATGTCATCACTAAGCTAACACTGTTTCTACAGTCCTCTGATGCGGGTTGTTTTGTGAGACATGTTAGAAGGCGGACCGTGTCGATTGCACCCGTAGCCTAACATACAGGTCAAAGCAGGTGCGAGGTGACACAGATAGTGTCAGTCGGCACATTAACAGGATATGAGCCCACACTTTGATACTAAGGGAAGCCGAGAACCAGGCCCTTTGGGTCTTTTATTCACTTGCATTGTAGATATCCTATACATTGACAAGATAACACATGTTTCGGGTGGGTAACGCCCCCAAACAAACATTTAAGACGGCAGATACATAAGCAGGACAACTGAGGGGGCGGTGTCGCTTGTCTATCATACATTTTACTACATGCGAAGGTTCAATTTGTGACGAGCCCAATAAAGAAGACATTACTTATGGTCAAAGGTCGTAATTAGAAAGGTGTCGTGACCTTGAAATGAACCTGTCGTCTATCTATCTACGCAGTGAATAATACATAAGTAAAGTAGGGGGGGGGGGGGGGGGGGGCGGTTGTTATTATTGGGCGTTTGTTGTAGGTTATTTATTTTATCTTATATAGTTTCGTTTGGTTAAGTTTGATGTATTTTGGTATAGTTTGGTGAAGTTCATTTAGTTTATGCGTGATGAAATTATTGAAGACTTAGTTTGGTGTAGATTGTTTAGGTTTAATTTGATGTAGTTTAGTTTGTGGTACAGTGTAGTTTAATGTAGTTTAGCTTGTTGTACAGTGTAGTTTAATGTAGTTTAGTTTGTTGTACAGTGTAGTTTAACAAAGTTTAGTTTGTTGTACAGTGTACATGTAGTTTAGCTTGTTGTACAGTGTAGTTTAATGTAGTTTAGCTTGTTGTACAGTGTAGTTTAATGTAGTTTAGTTTGTTGTACAGTGTAGTTTAATGTAGTTTAGTTTGTTGTACAGTGTAGTTTAATGTAGTTTAGTTTGTTGTACAGTGTAGTTTAATGTAGTTTAGTTTGTTGTACAGTGTAGTTTAATGTAGTTTAGCTTGTTGTACAGTGTAGTTTAATGTAGTTTAGCTTGTTGTACAGTGTAGTTTAATGTAGTTTAGTTTGTTGTACAGTGTAGTTTAATGTAGTTTAGTTTGTTGTACAGTGTAGTTTAATGTAGTTTAGTTTGTTGTACAGTGTAGTTTAATGTAGTTTAGTTTGTTGTACAGTGTAGTTTAATGTAGTTTAGTTTGTTGTACAGTGTAGTTTAATGTAGTTTAGTTTGTTGTACAGTGTAGTTTAATGTAGTTTAGTTTGTTGTACAGTGTAGTTTAATGTAGTTTAGTTTGTTGTACAGTGTAGTTTAATGTAGTTTAGTTTGTTGTACAGTGTAGTTTAATGTAGTTTAGTTTGTTGTACAGTGTAGTTTAATGTAGTTTAGTTTGTTGTACAGTGTAGTTTAATGTAGTTTAGTTTGTTGTACAGTGTAGTTTAATGTAGTTTAGTTTGTTGTACAGTGTAGTTTAATGTAGTTTAGTTTGTTGTACAGTGTAGTTTAATGTAGTTTAGTTTGTTGTACAGTGTAGTTTAATGTAGTTTAGTTTGTTGTACAGTGTAGTTTAATGTAGTTTAGTTTGTTGTACAGTGTAGTTTAATGTAGTTTAGTTTGTTGTACAGTGTAGTTTAATGTAGTTTAGTTTGTTGTACAGTGTAGTTTAATGTAGTTTAGTTTGTTGTACAGTGTAGTTTAATGTAGTTTAGTTTGTTGTACAGTGTAGTTTAATGTAGTTTAGTTTGTTGTACAGTGTAGTTTAATGTAGTTTAGTTTGTTGTACAGTGTAGTTTAATGTAGTTTAGTTTGTTGTACAGTGTAGTTTAATGTAGTTTAGTTTGTTGTACAGTGTAGTTTAATGTAGTTTAGTTTGTTGTACAGTGTAGTTTAATGTAGTTTAGTTTGTTGTACAGTGTAGTTTAATGTAGTTTAGTTTGTTGTACAGTGTAGTTTAATGTAGTTTAGTTTGTTGTACAGTGTAGTTTAATGTAGTTTAGTTTGTTGTACAGTGTAGTTTAATGTAGTTTAGTTTGTTGTACAGTGTAGTTTAATGTAGTTTAGTTTGTTGTACAGTGTAGTTTAATGTAGTTTAGTTTGTTGTACAGTGTAGTTTAATGTAGTTTAGTTTGTTGTACAGTGTAGTTTAATGTAGTTTAGTTTGTTGTACAGTGTAGTTTAATGTAGTTTAGTTTGTTGTACAGTGTAGTTTAATGTAGTTTAGTTTGTTGTACAGTGTAGTTTAATGTAGTTTAGTTTGTTGTACAGTGTAGTTTAATGTAGTTTAGTTTGTTGTACAGTGTAGTTTAATGTAGTTTAGTTTGTTGTACAGTGTAGTTTAATGTAGTTTAGTTTGTTGTACAGTGTAGTTTAATGTAGTTTAGTTTGTTGTACAGTGTAGTTTAATGTAGTTTAGTTTGTTGTACAGTGTAGTTTAATGTAGTTTAGTTTGTTGTACAGTGTAGTTTAATGTAGTTTAGTTTGTTGTACAGTGTAGTTTAATGTAGTTTAGTTTGTTGTACAGTGTAGTTTAATGTAGTTTAGTTTGTTGTACAGTGTAGTTTAATGTAGTTTAGTTTGTTGTACAGTGTAGTTTAATGTAGTTTAGTTTGTTGTACAGTGTAGTTTAATGTAGTTTAGTTTGTTGTACAGTGTAGTTTAATGTAGTTTAGTTTGTTGTACAGTGTAGTTTAATGTAGTTTAGTTTGTTGTACAGTGTAGTTTAATGTAGTTTAGCTTGTTGTACAGTGTAGTTTAATGTAGTTGAGTTTGTCGTACAGTGTAGTTTAATGTAGTTTAGCTTGTTGTACAGTGTAGTTTAATGTAGTTTAGTTTGTTGTACAGTGTAGTTTAATTTAGTTTATTTTGTTGTACAGTATAGTTTAATGTATTTTCAACATTAGTTTGTTTGTGTTGCTTTGGTTAATTTTGTGTTAAGTTTTCGGGTTTATCGGGATTTATCGTTCCTGTTACACGTATAACAATTTAGTATACACGGGTTTTTGGATTTATCGGGATTTATCGTAGCTTTTATACCTATTTTACAGTCGTTGGGTTTTATGGTTTATACAGTTTAAAGAGGAAGTAATGTTTATTAAAAGGGAAAACCTTGATGGTAGAATTTCATTTGTCACGGACTGAGAAACGCCAGCGGAATGTGTGTAAATGTTACCTGATATAGACAATGCCGTGATATTAGACTTTGTTACAGATTATAGATTATACAGAATAACAGCAGGTGTGTCGACATCCTGGCTCTCGCCTTTACTGGCCACACAAACCATCAGTAGATATATAACAGCAGACAGCCTCACCTGCATAGCACTATTTTACAGGTGTGTTTTCGGACCGTATTAAATCACCTGTTATAAATATTAGTCAATAAGGAAACGATATCCTTAACCATTTAACGTCTGTATGCTATACCGTATTTAATGCTTGTGATATCACTTATTCTTAATTGAAAACAAATTTAGAACTCATTACGGTATTGGTTCTTTACTTTTAAGGTGAATGTTAAGAAACGGTGAATGTTAAATGTCTGAGAAATGATTAGAATATGTGCATTTTGGGGTACCTTTATAAACTTACCTTCAGATATAAGCGTTAACAGTATCCCGACCAACCTAAGGAAGTGTAGAGGTCCCATGCTGTAGAAGTTCTAGATTGCCTTCCTGGTGTAGTACATCTATGTGTCTCCGGATGGGCGAGGTAATCGGGTAACTCAATAGGTGTGTCACATGGTAGGTATACTTCTTATGTTTCCATGAACTTTACCTCACAAGAAACAAACTCATTACTGTCAAAATACTTGAGTTTCATTTTCGTAATTTTGTAAACTCTAACAGACGAAACGAAATTACATAAAAATGGAACTTTGAAGTATACATGTAGTATAGTTAGAATAAGTTTCTTGTACAGGAATAAAACTTCCCTGTACACCGGACGCTGTCGTAGGCTGTATGAGTTTAAAGGTGACTTCCTGTTACGGTTGTTTATAAAGGGAGCATATCCAGCATCGTCAGAGGGACTTCAACAAGTTAACAGTTCTCATTGTCAAATGGTTGCTTCTCAACGAAGTTTTCAATTGTTGTGGGAAGATTATTTCGGAGTACGCGGACACATCTTTCCACAGTTCCAGTCGGATACACCTTTATAATTAAAGGATATACACGATGGAGCCGCTCTGTTGTCTATAATCTTTGCATTTACCTTCTGTGCTAGGACTCTGCTGAATACTGTTGGGCATCCATCTTTGATTCCTACAGCAACCGATCTACGACCGAAGACTACAAGGACTTTAGTTCTCCCCCATCCCGTTAGGAATCCCATTTTTACATTTACAATTTGGTATAGATCGATTATATCGACGATGGTTTATAGCCTCTATGGTTCAGCTTTTATACCTTGTAGACTCCTTGTTGTCCGGTGTCTTTTATATAAAGGTAAACAATTTATAAAGTAAAAAGTAGTCTAAAATGCCGTGTGCATTGTTGGCTTGTGTGATTTCAAAGTAGACCATGAATTTATCGTTACTGCACTATTCCCAATCTGTCACAGAGCTATTGTGACCTTCATTTCCGGTTGATAAGTATCTTCCATGATCAGTATGTATATTGAAAAGGTTTTGTGACAGTAATGGATGTTAAGTCATTGAACACAGAGTGAAACGTAAATCATAATATAGCATAAGAGTTCGAGTAGCTTGTATTGCACCCCGCTCTGAACAAAGTGGCCTATACACTGCCTGAGGTTACACATGTATGTATTTCCTTCATTGAGATGTTGAGAGCTTGAAATACATGAGTAAACTATCATTATAATTTATATATATGTATTATTATAAAAATTATAAATACATTTTGAATAGGACAGGAGCTAAACATACATTGTTTCTGTTGATGTTTATTGTTTGATTACAAAACTGACCGATTAACCGGTTACTCGGTCGGAAGAAATTTCGAGCAACCATTTTCTAAAATTCTACCCTAATGTTAATCTTGTGATATGATAAAAATGTGTTAATTACAATTCCTGTGGTAAACATAGCCGAAATACAAGAATTGACCTTCATTTTGATGGCGTTTACGGTAGTATGAACGCAATTGGCAACGAACATATTATATCGTGCGCGTTATCCTTTTTTCATAATAATATGATAATAATATACATGTACAGCATATATATAGCGCCCTATATAATTTATAAGATTACTCTAAAGCGCTTTACAATATATGGTTAATAGTATCAGTTATAATTGTGAAAAAAGGCTTAAAATCACTTTTATACATTTAAGCAAGCAATGTGCATATAAAGCACCGGTTTCCATAGGTCACAGTACGAGGTTTTGGGACACACAACAATTATTCTGACTCTGACCGCAGTGATCGTGACGGCTGATACAGGGTAACAAGCTATTGTAGGTACTGAGGAGCTGTTCCATTCAGTGCCTTGTATGTGTACACCAAAGTTGTGTACTGCGACCTGTATCGTTCTGGACCCTCTGCGGACGACTAGTTAGTTTGTCAGATATACCACAGAGCAGAGCGTTACAATAATCAAACCGAGAGGTAACAAGTGAATGCACCAAAATCTTCTTTTTTTTTCAAAGTTTTGAACTGCCGAATACAGCCGATGTTCCTAATCTGGTAGTAATAGGATTTGGCAATAGCGTTCACTTGTTTCTCCATGTTCAGTGAACTATCAAAGTATGCCCCTAGGTTTTTAACAGCTGGAACAGTCTCAATACTTCTGGCACCGACCTTGAGTTGGAGAGCCATTGTTTGCTGACACTTTGGGGAAAGGGCGATTAGTTCCGTCTTTTCCTGATTAAGCTTTAGCATGTTGGCGTTCATCCAGGTACTGATATCTGTCAGAAAAGCTTCCAGATTTTTCTGAAATTGTATCCCAACTGTCCTGTTGATCGATGACCATGTAAATCTGTGTGTCATCAGCATAGTAAAGATAGCGGAGGCTATGGCGCCGATAAATCTCTCCGATCGGTTTGGAGTACAGGCAATATGTTCGTGGTCCTTACACCGACCCTTGAGGAACCCCGAAATCTGGAATTTTGTCATGTGAGGTGGTAGATTCGATGGCAACACACTGTCGTCGTTCACTCAGATAAGACTGTATCCAGCATAGTGCGGTATCAGTCACTCCATAAGAGTATTCTAGACGTTTCATAAAGTATGCCATAGTCGATGACGTCAAATGCAGCTGATAAGCATGACAAGCTCCGCTCTGCACTTGTTTTCCAATGCAGAAGCTATGTCATTATGTACACGTAGGAGGGCCGTCTCAGTAGAGTGTCCCATGCGGTAGGCCGATTGCATGTTGTCATGGAGACTGTTTGCATGGAGATGAACCTCTAAACGCCAGGACACAATCCTCTCCAAGATCTTAGACAAAAAAGGCAGATTTGAAACTGGGCGGTAGTTCTTTAACTCCTCCTTGTGCGTCCCAGGCCAACAAACGTCTAGCATGTGCCTTTTTGAAACACAGTGGAACCTTTGACTCAGCCAATGATTTGTTCATGATTGAGGTAATCAAAGGAAGCAGTGCTTCAAGACATTGCTTTAATAGATCTGTAGGCAGTGAATGAAGCTCACAGGAATTCGATTGCGAGGTCATGATGCTGTTGTGCAACTCATCCACGGTTGTTGGCGAGAGCTTTGCCAATGGTTCCCTATCAAATTCAATGTCAGCAGTCATGACAGAGATATGCTAATCTATGCATAACGTCTAAGCTAATTTATACGCAGTCAAGAGTTTACTTAGCTGAAGAAGGGAGATATTTAAATATTTATCATTTCGTTTCATTTAGAAATGACGACAATGAAAAATATAAAATGTTTTAATTTAAACGTTCAAAGTAAACCACTCCGCCAAATGACAACCATCGGTACACATATATTTCCAGGTGTTCTTAGTGACTGCGAATGATTAGACGAAAATCTGACTGACTTTTGTGAAAGTAGTGACATCGTAGTGTAGACACAGAGCGTTATCAGGAGTTATGACTTTGCTATCCTTCGCTTTATTTCCACAGAAAGACTCACTAACATGTTGTTATTTTATACAGTCGGTAAGCTAGGCTAAGCTCTCCTAGGCGAATACCATTTCACCTATTACCGTAGGATAGAAACACGAGGTTTCCTGATTAAAAAAGCACGAATTTAACGTTTATAAATATAGGAATATCCGCTTTAATAGCATTCAAATTTAAGTATAATAGATATAATTTTGTGTTAAATGTTAAGTCTGTTTATTAAGTAATTTACGGAAAGAATAATGAGTTACAGAGGTATATGACGTCATTACATCGAACAGCACGATACTAGACACGACAGGGGTCACAGAGGTCAACACGATACTAGACACGACAGGGGTCACAGAGGTCAACACGACACATGACACGACAGGGGTCACAAAGGTCAACTAGATACATGTCACGACAGGGATCACAAAGGTCATGCAACTAGATACGGGAAACGAGCGGGGTCATAGAGATCAACACGATACGGGACTTGACAGGGGTCACAGAGATCAACACGATACGGGACACGACAGGGGTCACAGATATCAAAACGATACGGGAAACGACGGGGTCAAATAGATCAACACGATACGGGAAACGACGGGGTTACAGAGATCAACACGATACGGGACTTGACAGGGGTCACAGAGATTAACACGATACGGGACTTGACAGGGGTCACAGAGATTAACACGATACGGGACACGACATGGGTCACAGAGATTAACACAATACGGGACTTGACAGGGGTCACAGAGATTAACACGATACGGGACTTGACAGGGGTCACAGAGATTAACACGATACGGGACACGACGGGGTCACATAGATCAACACGATACAGGACTTGACAGGGGTCACAGAGATCAACACGATACGGAACACGACAGGGGTCACAGAGATCAACACGATACGGGACTTGACAGGGGTCACAGAGATTAACACTATACGGGACTTGACAGGGGTCACAGAGATTAACGCGATACGGGACACGACGGGGTCACATAGATCAACACGATCCAGGACTTGACAGGGGTCACAGAGATCAACACGATATGGAACACGACAGGGGTCACAGAGATCAACACGATATAAGACACGATAGGGGTCACAGAGATCAACACGATACAGAACACGACAGGGGTCACAGAGATCAACACGATACGGAACACGACAGGGGTCACAGAGATCAACACGATACGTAAAACGACAGGGGTCACAGAGATCAACACGATACTGAACACGACATGGGTCACAGAGATCAACCCGATACGGGACCTGACAGGGGTCACCGAGGTCAACACGATACGGGAGTTGACAGGGCTCACAGAGATCAAAACGATACGTAACACGACAGGGGTCACAGAGATCAACACGATATAAGACACGACAGGGGGCACAGAGATCAACACGATACGGAACACGACAGGGGTCACAGATATCAACACGATACTGAACACGACAGGGGTCACAGAGATCAACACGATATAAGACACGACAGGGGGCACAGAGATCAACACGATACGGGACATGACAGGGGTCACCGAGGTCAACACGATACGGGACTTGACAGGGCTCACAGAGATCAAAACGATACGTAACACGACAGGGGTCACAGAGATCAAAACGATACGGAACACGACAGGGGTCACAGAGATCAACACTATATAAGACACGATAGGGGTCACAGAGATCAACACGATACAAAACACGACAGGGGTCACAGAGATCAACACGATATAAGACACGACAGGGGTCACAGAGATCAACACGATATAAGACACGACAGGGGTCACAGAGATCAACACGATATAAGACACGACAGGGGTCACAGAGATCAACACGATACGTAAAACGACAGGGGTCACAGAGATCAACACGATACGTAAAACGACAGGGGTCACAGAGATCAACACGATACTGAACACGACATGGGTCACAGAGATCAACACGATACGGGACCCGACAGGGGTCACAGAGATCAACACGATACGTAAAACGACAGGGGTCACAGAGATCAACACGATACAGGACACGACAGGGGTCACAGAGATCAACACGATACTGAACACGACATGGGTCACAGAGATCAACACGATACGGGACCCGACAGGGGTCACAGAGATCAACACGATACGTAAAACGACAGGGGTCACAGAGATCAACACGATACGTAAAACGACAGGGGTCACAGAGATCAACACGATACGTAAAACGACAGGGGTCACAGAGATCAACACGATACTGAACACGACATGGGCCACAGAGATCAACACGATACGGGACCTGACAGGGGTCACCGAGGGCAACACGATACGGGGCTTGACAGGGCTCACAGAGATCAAAACGATACGTAACACGACAGGGGTCACAGAGATCAAAACGATACGGAACACGACAGGGGCCACAGAGATCAACACGATACGGAACACGACATGGGTCACAGAGATCAACACGATACGGGACCCGACAGGGGTCACAGAGATCAACACGATACGTAAAACGACAGGGGTCACAGAGATCAACACGATACGTAAAACGACAGGGGTCACAGAGATCAACACGATACTGAACACGACATGGGTCACAGAGATCAACACGATACGGGACCCGACAGGGGTCACAGAGATCAACACGATACGTAACACGACAGAGGTCACAGAGATCAACACGATACGGAACACGACATGGGTCACAGAGATCAACACGATACGGGACCCGACAGGGGTCACAGAGATCAACACGATACGTAAAACGACAGGGGTCACAGAGATCAACACGATACGTAACACGACAGAGGTCACAGAGATCAACACGATACGGAACACGACAGGGGTCACAGAGATCAACACGATACTGAACACGACATGGGTCACAGAGATCAACACGATACGGGACCTGACAGGGGTCACCGAGGTCAACACGATACGGAACACGACAGGGGTCACAGAGATCAACACGAAACGGAACACGACAGGGGGCACAGAGATCAACACGATACGGGACCTGATAGGGGTCACCGAGGTCAACACGATACGGGACTTGACAGGGCTCACAGAGATCAAAACGATACGGAACACGACAGGGGTCACAGAGATCAACACGATATAAGACACGACAGGGGTCACAGAGATCAACACGATACGGAACACGACAGGGGTCACAGAGATCAACACGATACGGAACACGACAGGGGTCACAAAGATCAACACGATACGGGACTTGACATGGGTCACAGAGATCAATACGATACGGAACACGACAGGGGTCACATAGATCAGCACGATATTGTTCACAGAGATGCGTGGCGCCATAGCTTGGAAGATTAAGGTACTTGCAATAGGAGGAATATGTACATGTAAAAACGAAGACATACTCAACAATGTTATGTGTGGACAAAAAAAAACATTTCTGGCGCGGAAACGCGCTAGTTGGAGAGATAGTTAATCATATTTGCAGATGGGCCACGTGCTTCCCAGAAGGTCTTTTGTTCACAACTGAATACAGCGGTGTTTCCGGATCAATATTGATGTTTTCATCTACATCCGCTTCTCCTTGGGAGCTATGGAAGCTGTCGACAGTACTGTCGCTATAGACTGACACATTACCAAGTCCTGTGTTGGGGTCTTGTTCCGTCATCACTGCCGCATTATTGTCCACATTGTTGTCCCCATCGGACTCGTTTGTATCGGAAACTTCCGGTTCGTTCATAACGACAAATGTGGTATCTTGTAATGTAGGTTCCGGCTCAGGTGGCGCTGTCCCCTCCGAGTACAGTCTCTCTACTGAAGCAAAACTTGTTATTATTTCTGGGTCACTTCTGACCAGGACAGGAGTGGGGTCAGTCGGAAACGAGTCTGAGTTATCATATAATACGTTCTCCTTCATACCGCTGTTGTGTTTCACATATCTTTGGTCGTATCCGGAGTGAACAGGGTTCTTGGCCCCGTTATACCCTCCGGCGTAATACCTAGGGTCGGGGCTCAATGGTGATTTCTCTACCCGTTTCCTGTTTCTGGAAGAAAATCATTAAAGATCACATTTAATATCATCGACATTTACATTTAATTCTTTGCAAATTATTCTTTAGCTATGAATACCTAGTACACAGTAAACTAGCTAATTAATGTAGTAATACAAACCAAATGAATAGAGACAGTGCAAACCAGGATGACATATAGAAACCATTCTAATAACCGATTGACCTTCCTTGTGTGAACACGAGCTCGAGGCTCCCTAATGCAAATTAAGAAAAACAGATTGTGATCTATGCAGCAGTAATGTAATATACCATCTAGGACGTTCACTGTGATCATCCATGCGATGATTTATTTCTAGGACGTACACTGTGATCATCCATGCGAGGATTTATTTCTAGGACGTACACTGAGATCATCCATGCGAGGAATTATTTCTAGGATGTTCACTGTGATCATCCATACGATGATTTATTTCTAGGACGTACCCTGTGATCATCCATGCGAGGATTTATTTCTAGGACGTACACTGTGATAATCTATGCGAGGAATTATTTCTAGGACGTTCACTGTGATCATCCATGCGAGGAATTATTTCTAGGACGTTCACTGTGATCATCCATGCGAGGATTTATATCTAGAACGTTCACTGTGATCATCCATGCGAGGATTTATTTCTAGGACGTACACTATGATCATCCATGCGAGGATTTATTTCTAGGGCGTACACTGTGATCATCCATGCGATGATTTATATCTAGAACGTTCACTGTGATCATCCATGCGAGGAATTATATCTAGGACGTTCACTGTGAACATCCATGCGAGGATTTATTTCTAGGACGTACACTGCGATCATCCATGCGAGGATTTATTTCTAGGACGTACACTATGATCATCCATGCGAGGATTTATATCTAGCACGTTCACTGTGATCATCCATGCGAGGAATTATTTCTAGGATGTTCACTGTGATCATCCATGCGACGATTTATTTCTAGGACGTACACTATGATCATCCATGCGAGGATTTATTTTTAGGACGTTTACTGTGATCATCCATGCGAGGATTTATCTCTAGGACTACACTGTGATCATCCATGCGAGAATTTATATCTAGGCAGTACACTGAGATCATCCATGCGGCAATTTATATCTAGGACGTACACTGTGATCATCCATGCGAGGATTTATACCTAGGACGTACACTGTGATCATCCATGCGATGATTTATATCTAGGACGTTCACTGTGATCATCCATGCGAGGATTTATTTCTAGGACGTACACTGTGATCATCCATGCGAGGATTTATTTTTAGGACGTTTACTGTGATCATCCATGCGAGGATTTATATCTAGGACGTTCACTGTGATCATCCATGCGAGGATTTATTTCTAGGACGTACACTGTGATCATCTATGCAAAGGATTATTTCTAGGACGTTCACTGTGATCATCCATGCGAGGATTTATTTCTAGGACGTTCACTGTGATCATCCATGCGAGGATTTATTTCAATACGTCCTCTCTTATAATCGTAAACACAGTAATTAGATAAGTTAAGAATCATTACAGTTAGTTAGTAAGATACGTTAAAACACGACTTCTATCTAAATGACGGGGCAACACCTGAACAGCTGGATGTACCCCCGACACTCCAGCACAAAGGAGGCTGTATTTGTTATTTCGGGTTTAAATATACAATTGTCTTAATTTAAACATGATGTATTTTAAGTGAACATTAATACTCCTTAATATTCAATTATTGATGTAAAATTGACCCGAGGGCATGTTTTATAGGTAACTGACTTATTTGCCAAGGCTTTGAACTTTTGTCAGGTATTTGACCCTGGCCTTCCTTATCTTTAATGTTTTAAAGATATTTGACCTCATTGCTGTGCCAATGGCCTTGTTTCTCTCTAGTGTTTTACACACATCTCACCTTATTGCTACCTGTATGACCTTGACTTTTGGTAATCCCTTATTTTTTAGACGTTTTAATTCATTGCTGTGACCTTGACCGTACCTTGCGGTTTGTGTGGAACACAAAAAGCTTTATCGAACAATGTTCAGCCACCTCACGTACAACAAAGGGCAATAATAATTTAGCCTATTGAAATAAAAAAATGAAATGGATTTACAGTCCGATACATTACAGTTTTTTTAACAACAGTGCTTACTTAAACGAACAGATCAATATTGTTTTTCAAATGAAGCATACAATGGAAAGAATCTGAAATGAATCTCTAATAGAAAAAGGAATCATGAAACTATTTAATCTATCGACCCAATTCAACTGTAAACGGTGATTTGCTTTCATCACAAGAGGATTCAAAGAAATGTCTAGCTTCTAGCTAAACTTCAGCCAAGGCATTTGCAAATTTGTCAACACGGGAGCATATTTGAGTGTTAGTCCAATAAAAGACGTATATATAAGAAATGTTACAGTTAAACCAAATTAGAAAATTTGTTTCATGAGTTGTTGAATCAAGATTGAAAGATTTCATGGTTTGTTTGTTTTTATAGTAGATTTTTTTATGAAAGAGTATACTGATCTCGTACAGCAGACCTTAACAATATCAGCAGAAAACTTACCTCGTACAGAACGACCTTAACACTATCAACTGAAAACTTACCTCGTACAGCACGACCTTAACACTATCACCTGAAAACTTACCTCGTACAGCATGACCTTAACACTTTCAGCAGAAAACCTACTTCGTACAGCACGACCTTAACACTATCAGCTGAAAACTTACCTCGTACAGCACGACCTTAACACTATCAGCAGAAAACTAACCTCGCACAGCACGACCTTAACACTATCAACTGAAAACTGACCTCGCACAGCACGACCTTAACACTATCGCCTGAAAACTTACCTCGTACAGCACGACCTTAACACTATCAGCAGAAACTTACCTTGTACAGCACGACCTTAACACTATCAACTGAAAACTTACCTTGTACAGTACGACCTTAAAACTATCAACTAAAAACCTACCTTGTACAGTACGACCTTAAAACTATCAACTAAAAACCTACCCTGTACAGCACTACCTTAACACTATCAACTAAAAACCTACCTTGTACAGCACGACCTTAACACTTTCAGCAGAAAACCTACCTCGTACAGCACGACCTTAACACTATCAACTGAAAACTTACCTCGTACAGCACGACCTTAACACTATCAGCAAAAAACTTACCTCGTACAGCACGACCTTAACACTATCACCTGAAAACTTACCTTGTACAGCACGACCTTAACACTATCAGCAGAAAACTTACCTCGTACAGCACGACCTTAACACTATCACCTGAAAACTTACCTTGTACAGTACGACCTTAACACTATCAACTGAAAACTTACCTTGTACAGTACGACCTTAAAACTATCAACTAAAAACCTACCTTGTACAGTGCGACCTTAAAACTATCAACTAAAAACCTACCTTGTACAGCACTACCTTAACACTATCAACTAAAAATCTACCTTGTACAGCACGACCTTAACACTTTAAGCAGAAAACCTACCTCGTACAGCACGACCTTAACACTATCAGCAGAAACTTACCTTGTACAGCACGACCTTAACACTATCAACTGAAAACTTACCTTGTACAGTACGACCTTAAAACTATCAAGTAAAAACCTGCCTTGTACAGCACTACCTTAACACTATCAACTAAAAATCTACCTTGTACAGCACGACCTTAACACTTTAAGCAGAAAGCCTACCTCGTACAGCACGACCTTAACACTATCAACTGTAAACTCACCACGTACAGCACGACCTTAACACTATCAGCAGAAACTTACCTTGTACAGCACGACCTTAACACTATCACCTGAAAACTTACCTTGTACAGTACGACCTTAAAACTATCAAGTAAAAACCTACCTTGTACAGCACTACCTTAACACTATCAACTAAAAACCTACCTTGTACAGCACGACCTTAACACTATCAACTAAAAACCTACCTCGTACAGCACGACCTTAACACTATCAGCAGAAACTTACCTTGTACCACACGACCTTAACACTATCAACTGAATACTCACCACGTACAGCAGACCTTAACTCTATCAACTGTAAACTCACCACGTACTGCACGAGCTTAACACTATCACTTGAAAACTTACCTCGTACAGCAGGACCTTAACACTATCACCTGAAAACTTACCTTGTACAGTACGACCTTAACACTATCAACTGAAAACTTACCTTGTACAGCAGGACCTTAACACTATCAGCAGAACGATCAACAGGAAAAACCCTGTCACCACCGGAATTATTATTGTCACTGGAACAAAAAAATAACTGAATGTTAAAAAGTATTTGAATACATTATATATAGTTATATATAGAAAACAAAATGAAATGTGTTTGTCGTAGTTGATATCATAACAATTTGCAGTAGAGCAAGAGGCCTGCACCATGCAAACACTACAATTCATGTTTAAACACAACTGTTTATTGGTTAATGTGTTCATTGAGACACTCACTATTGTGTTGGCTCTGCTCAAAGACGTCATTATCTTCACTACTGGAGGTCGTGGCTGAAGTGCCCTCCGAGGAATACGGCGGTGGAGTGGGACTGGTTGGTGTTGGAGTGATTGGGGTCGGGCTTGGTGTCGTAGTGGTTGTGGTAGTGGTAAATGTGGTTGTGATGGGTGTGGTAGTGGTAGTGGTGGTCACCGGAGATGGAGGGGCTTTAGTAGTCAGAGGCCGAAGCGTTTGTTTTGGAGTTGTAGTTGGTTTTGGAGTTGTTGTTGTTGTTGTGGTGGTTGTGGCTGGTTTTGGAGTTGTTGTGGTGGTGGTTGTAGTTGGTTTTTGAGTTGTTGTGGTGGTGGTTGTGGCTGGTTTTGGAGTTGTTGTGGTGGTGGTTGTGGCTGGTTTTGGAGTTGTTATGGTGGTGGTGGTGGTTGGTTTCGGAGTTGTTGTGGTGGTGGTTGTAGTTGGTTTTGGAGTTGTTGTGGTGCTGGTTGTGATTGGTTTCGGAGTTGTTGTTGTTGTGGTGGTTGTAGTTGGTTTTGGAGTTGTTGTTGTGGTGGTGGTTGTAGTTGGTTTTGGAGTTGTTGTTGTGGTGGTGGTTGTAGTTGGGGTGGTCGTTGTGGCGGCTTTAGGACATGTGACAGTAAGTGTTGATGATGTATCGTCTGAAAATATAAGCAAAAAAATAGATACAGAATAACTAAAACTAAACAATATATAGTGCGACAAACTGTATATAATCTAGTCAAACAAACGTAGACCAGTGTAATGGTCAGACACATTTAGGCCAGTGGCCAGTATGCTGGACAAACAAATTTAGGCCAGTAGTCAGTGTAATGGTCAGACAAATTTAGGCCAGTAGTCAGTGTAATGGTCAGACAAATCTAGGCCAGTGGCCAGTGTGCTGGTCAGACAAATTTAGGCCAGTGGCCAGTGTGCCAGGCAGACAAATTTAGGCAAGAAGTCAGTGTATTGGTCAGACAAATTTTGGCCAGCGGTCAGTGTTATGGTCAGACAAATTTAGGCCAGTAGTCAGTGTAATGGTCAGACAAATTTAGGCCAGTGGTCAGTGTAATGGTCAGACAAATTTAGGCCAGTAGTCAGTGTTATGGAGAGACAAATTTAGGCAAGTGGTCAGTGTAATGGTCAGACAAATTTAGGTCAGTGGCCAGTGTAATGGTCAGACAAATTTAGGCCAGTGGTTAGTTTAATGGTCAGACACATTTAGGCCAGTGGTCAATGTAATGGTCAGACAAATTTAGGCCAGTGGTTAGTGTAATGGTCAGACAAATTTAGGCCAGTAGTCAGTGTGTTGGTTTTGGAGTTGTTGTTGTGGTGGTGGTATGGTCAGACAAATTTAGGCCAGTGGTTAGTGTAATGGTCAGACAAATTTAGGCCAGTAGCCAGTGTAATGGTCAGACAAAGTTAGGCCAGTGGTCAGTGTAATGGTCAGACAAATTTAGGACAGTGGCCAGTGTGCCAGGCAGACAAATTTAGGCAAGAAGTCAGTGTTATGGTCAGACAAATTTAGGTCAGTAGTCAGTGTTATGGTCAGACAAATTTAGGCCAGTCAGTGTAATGGTCAGACAAATTTAGGCCAGTGGCCAGGGTAATGGTCAGACAAATTTAGGCCAGTAGTCAGTGTAATGGACAGACAAAGTTAGGCCAGTGGTCAGTGTAATGGCCAGACAAATTTAGGCCAGTGGCCAGTGTGCCAGGCCGACAAATTTAGGCAAGAAGTCAGTGTTATGGTCAGACAAATTTAGGCCAGTAGTCAGTGTAATGGTCAGACAAAGTTAGGCCAGTAGTCAGTGTAATAGTCAGACAAAGTTAGGCCAGTCAGTGAAATGGTCAGACAAATTTAGGCCAGTCAATGAAATGGTCAGACACATTTGGGCCAGTCAATGTAATGGTCAGACAAACCTGATATCTTAGATGGAAAAGAAAAAAGTGTATAAGGAAATAAACGATATGTGCCAAATATTACAGTTCAAACTGCACTACAGATAAAATTATCACGAATATAACAACTATTGCTCGGTTTTGGGTCTAGACAAATGATACCTAAGCGATACGGCGGAACTGCGTGTGGATGTGAAATTAATTGTACATACTGGTAGAGAAGCCGCACTCTCTTGATTGCCTCAATACATATGTTAACAGATGAATAATTTAAGCATAATACGTAGTATTCCACTACTTAACCTGCTAGACATGTTCATCTCGAGATTTTATCGTGTACATATACCATCAAACCCTGATACAGGTGGGCTCGGGTAAGTGCATTATGATACAATACACCTAACGTATCTTAACTAGACGAACATATATGATTAAGATCCTCCTATGAGACGGATACAGGTAAAAATGTCCATTTCACCGATTATAGACTGCCTCCCGTATTTCGTATTCAATTAGCAACACTATGAATTATTTTTGGAATCAAAATCACTTGATGAAATAAATATCACTTTATGAAATAGATATGTACATTAACTAGAGGATGGTGTTAGCAGGAGATAATCATTAAGGTGACGCATATTAATATTCCTTCGTCGTTTGTACCAATTAATGTCAGCCTCGTAAGTTGACGAGTTTAGTGGGGCAGTGCCATGAGGTACATTTTGTAGAGAGTGATATGAAATCACCAGTTCTGTGATATGTAGAGGTATGACCAGTTCTGTGATATGTAGAGGTATGACCAGTTCTGTAATATGTAGAGATATGACCAGTTCTGTGATATGTAGAGGTATGACCAGTTCTGTGATATGTAGAGGTATGACCAGTTATGTAATATAAATACAAGCTTGAACTATTTTCGAGAACATTTCACTCTCAAAAATTGGTCATTTAAAGTTTCACATGCACGCGAGATCAGATACAATTGCACACTTGAAGGAATTAAGTACATTACAGCTGGACTAAACATCGTCTGTACAGTCAGTATCATGTAGATTTGAGAACAAAAGCTTACTGATCTGGTTCGTCCACGCTTGAATTAACAGTGTACTTAAAACATGGGCAATTTATGGTATCTTGTGTAGAACGAGTCACATGTATGTTTCAGTTTAATCAGAAGGAAACATGTATAAAAAGTGTAACAAAATACCTAGTGTCAGTGACAAGCAGTATCTAGAATCACTCTGGGCCTGCTTGTTCAGCGTAATCGTGATGACGTCACCATTTTCTACTGGGATACTTCCAAACACCGCTTCACACTGTCCGGAAAGACTTCCACCAGAAGCAGCTTCAAGTAAAACAGACGACCTACATAATGCAAGTGGTCCTAGGTTCTGAAAGTTCGACACCGTCAGAGCTGTGGGCCCTGTTGGTGCGTTCACTGTGGCCGTGCATCCACACGTTGTGACCGTGCATTCACACGCTGTGACGTCATTAGTCTCATACATATCTATCAGCACGCTCCTGCTGCTTTTCGTTTCTCCAGCACAAACTTGGCTAACTATAAGGAAAAAAATATGTCATAACAACGGCCTACACATAAGATCTGAAAATAGAAAAAAAATACGTCTATCACAATATTCCGTCTTTGCGTATTGCAGAGTTATCTTCTCTTGGGAGCAGGTATTGATTGTTATGTCATTGGTTTGTGCGAGAAATTACGTCGTTTTCTCAAAAACTGATGACGTTATTCTCACAAACAAGTGACGTAACAATCAATACCTGCTCCCAAGAGAAGATAACTCTGCAATACGCAAAGACGAAATACCATGTTAGACAATAGATATAACGTGTATTTCAGGTTGGTGTGGTTAACTTCAAGTAATATCATCTACTTCTTAAGAAAAAAGTGCACCTGACGCCACGCTGGCCAGATATGACACGTGACGCCACGCTGGCCAGATATGAGACGTGACGTCATGCTTGCCAGATATGAGACGTGATGTCATACTGGTCAGACAATACACATGGCGTAAACTGTGAAGCGACGTTGAAGGTTTCACGACGAAACATAGATTAATCGTTAGCATTTCGCACGTCTTAACCGCTTCGTCTGCATCTCATGTGTGAGCTTTCTTTTCGCTCAGCAAATCAACTTTAAAATGGCGATTTAACGTCTATTTTAGCAATTTCAAACAATTAGTAATCTAATCAAAAATCACATATTCATCGCTTTAACTGGCTATTATTCGATATAAAAGCACAATCCAATCGATATGTTACATGTATAATGCAACTATGACTATGACGTCACAGGTAGCTATGAAATCCGTTCACAAATATAGGCAAACATGACGATACATTTTTGGTTATTTTCATTCTACCTAATTCTGTGATAAATGAGTATGAATACCTATATTATAGGTAGAGATCACTTACCTGGATAACCGTACATGACACCGCCGAGAAGCTGACAATCATTATCAGCATTGACTGAAACAAAGATAAAAACTGAATAATTACGTCAGGAAAACTGTGCAGGTCTTCACGGCCAAGCTAAAAGGGCCACAAAGTAGTCTTAACGACCAATCTTACAGGGCCACAAACTAGTCTTAACGACTAATCTTACAGGGCCACGAAGTAGTCTTATCGACCAATCTTACAGGGCCACAAACTAATCTTAACGACCAATCTTACAGGGGCACATACTAATCTTAACGACCAATCTTACAGGGCCACAATCTAATCTTAACGACTAATCTTACAGGGGCACATACTAATCTTAACGACCAATCTTACAGGGCCACAAACTAATCTTAACGACTAATCTTACAGGGCCACAAAGTAGTCTTAACGACTAATCTTACAGGGCCACAAACTAATCTTAACGACCAATCTTACAGGGGCACATACTAATCTTAACGACCAATCTTACAGGGCCACAAACTAATCTTAACGACCAATCTTACAGGGGCACATACTAATCTTAACGACCAATCTTACAGGGCCACAAACTAATCTTAACGAC